TACCGCGGGCTAAGGGGCGCATCTCTGGATCCAGTAGTAGCTCAGCTGCAGAGTAGTGCCTTTCGTGCCGGTTCTCTCTATAGTGTGTAACTTCTCCTGCTTTCCCCCCTCCCCTTAGCCCTACGAAAACTCTTCCCCTCTGTCGGTGTGCGAAGGCAAAAGCACATTGACTCTTCTGTTCGTCTTTGACTCGTCACACACGGCGAGGGTATCCTCCCTCCACCTCCACCTTTGCGCTTCCACCACTACCCTACTCTTCTTCCTTCTTTCTTTCTTCCACCACCATCATCACCATCACCATCTCCATCACCATCACGATCACCATCACCATACCATCGCCGCCACTACCACTACCACTACCACTACCACTACCACTACCACTACCACTACCACTACCACTACCACTACCACTACCACTACCACTACCACTACCACTACCACTACCACCGCCGACATCACTTCTCCTCTCGTGCTACTCTTGCCGGCGGTCTCCGAGGGAATATTCCTCACGGTTCGTCGACGGCCAGTCAGTGCGCGACTCGTCGTTGTTGCGACGGTTGGCGAGGAGGAGAGTGTGGTATCTGTGCCTTTTTTTTTGTGGAAAATTATGCTCGTGACGGATCGTCGTGCTCCTCGTCGACGTAGTGGCTCGTGCGCCGCGAACGAACGCTCAACACGAGCGTAGTTGTGGGATTTTTAACATCGATCGAAGAGCTGACTAAAATAAAAATAAAAAAAAAAGAAAGAATAATTAATAGAAATCATCGAGTACACGATCTGTCTATGTAAATGTCTGTATATATGAATATATACATACGCACATAGGGGGAAGAAAAAGAATCCGGAGAGATATTGAAATCATCAAACGAATAGAAAGAGAGAGGCGTCGCCCGAAGGATCGCAAACCATCAGTGTTTTTTCATAGATCCTACGCGCAAGAGTATTTATCCCGTACCCTGTTGGACGAAGCTGTTCTACGACTCTCGGCATCCCACGGATAATGGAATAAAGTGTGTCACACAGTGTTCAGTGATCGCGCGTGATTTTCTTATGATTCTCGCGGCAATCGTGAATACCACCTCTTTGCCATCGGATATAACATAAATCTGTATGAATATATATATATCAACATCAATTTTTTTCAAGTGTATTGTACAGTGTGCTACAGACCAGTAGAAGTGGCCGCGCGAGTCATCCGCGAGTTATCTTCGTTTCGACATCTTCCTTTCTTCTTTCGCTGCATCTTCCCGTGAGATTAGAAACCGGTCAAAATTTCCTTCATCCGTCGAGACGAGGATTACGACGTACGATCGACACATTGGCGAAATCGACCAACGAAAGCTAGGAAAAAGTAGTGTGCGTTGGAGGGATATATTACCTTGTACCTCGTACGGTACGGTGGCTATGCAGCCTCGCGAAATTACGGCGAGGAGGTAACGCCGACGAGCACACCAGAGCACCACGGTCCACACACCTCCGCCGACGACGCACCGGCGGCGTGTAAACATCGAACGAAACAACCACCAAACATGTGGACCACGATGCTCGTGTGGACGGCCGCCGTCGTGCTTCTACCAGCACCCCGAATCGTAAGTTTGTTCTTGTTCCTTCTCTTCAACAATCTCGCCGTTTACGATCGATCTTGTTGTTCGAAATAAAGAAACTGCTCCCGCAGAAATTCTCTGAAAAGAAAAGTTTATTTAGGCACCAAGTGTGAAATTGATCAAAAATTGAAACGCCGCCTCTTCCTTTTCTTTTTTTTTCGTTGTCGAAAGAGAGATGGTTGACGGTTTCGTGGAAATATTTCTGTTTATTTTTAGGGGCGTTGCAAAACGTCTTTTTACAACTTCCATCTTCCGAAATATCTTGCGTATGAAGCATCGGACACTGTTCCTTTCTGTTTCTCGAAACTGTAGTTCTGTTGCGTTTCACCGTCTCAATACAACAGAGTCGAATATGGAGTAAAAATGATTAACATTGATTTACATTTGACTGTTTTTCTTTTTTTTTTTTTTAACGAAGATCGTCTCGTTGGTCCATTAATCACTGTTTCGATCGATTTTACAAGAACGTTACTTATCGCATAATCGCCGTACTATTTTTCCATAAAATTTGCGAAACAACCAAGATCTGTCAATAAAGGATACATTAATATTGAAACTATTACAATAATCAAAATGACATGTAATTTTTACTGTTATCGATCAATTTTTCAAGACACAAATATTACAAGAACAATAAAAATACGCAATTCCTCGTAGATACTTTATAAATTTACAACGGTGCATATCTTTGCATCGACCACTTTATACTTTATACTTTAGTTACAAGTAATTCTAGCGCACGTTGTCGTGAAATTTTAGATATATGCAATTCTCTAGATGAAGGAATAAAGTATGTACTTACATTTGTACGTACGAATGAACGAAGTATTTTGTCAACGGGCTTAATCCGTATCGCGTGTTGTCGAGGGAAACAGAAAGGGAGAGATATACGTTTGTCAACTCGAAGACACATCGTAAGCGACCTTCGCCGCTGTCGATGAATGGCACGATGTTTTGGTTCGGAATCCAAGAGACGTTCCCGTCTGTCAAACCGGTCGTAAGCTCTCTGTTGGTATTTATGGTAAAAACGATGACACGCCATCGATGGGTGCGTTCGAAAATAGAAGCTCGTCTCAATATATTTATCGTCGTCTCATTCTTGTGTGTACGTGCGCGCGCGCACCACTGATACGTTCTCCTGCGTCTAATTAAGTACTTGCGTAAGTGCAATCGCGGCTTATATTTATCCAGTCGAACGCTATATCTGTAAACGTGTGTAAGGTTCGATCGAGCTGCAGAATGCTTTCCAATTTTAACTCACCTTCAATCAGTGTCTTTTCCCTCAATCGTCTCCTTTCCCTTCTGGAAAGATTCAATTTTATGAAATCAACGTAACAAATTTGTATAATATAATAGCTTTACAGTTATAATAATAATAATAATAGTACAGCGTATATAAGTTTCTTTTTCATTGGCGCTAGTCGCCACGAGTTTCAAGTGTATTCTTCCTGGGAGAGATTCTTTCTTTCACTCTATCTTTCCTTCTTTCCCAGTCTTTATTTCTTTGCTCGTCCCTCCTTCTATCGTCGTCCATCTTTCTCTTTCTCTGTCGGCCATGTCTTCGAAGCATTCGACGAAAGAGGAGAAAACCAGTGGCAACACAGTATTCGTCGGCATACAACAACTCTAAATCTGGATCCCACTCTTTTAGAAGTGTCTAACTTCTGCTTGTCTGCTCTTCTCGCGTCTCGTTCCGCGACATTACCCCATCGTGTCTTGTTTCCTTTTCAATTTCTTTCCGACCTTCACCGTTCATACACCTTTGGAAATACGCGAGAGCCATCTCTCATCATTGTCGGCGTTTGAAGTGTTTGAACTAGTGGAATCGAGAAGTATCGAAATACTTACGTAGCAGGATACGACGTTCAAGTCCACGGGTGTGCTCAAAGGGTGCCCCTAGAAAATTGTTTTGTGACGAAATAACGTTGGTTGTATCCGTAAATAGATGGCGGCGGCCATTCTTGTTCCGAGAATAACGCTCCAGCGCGCCAAAAATGAGAATTCCTCATCGGCGGATCGTGGCAAGCCGCTTGTGTATAAACGTCACCTCTAACCTGCTGTGTTTTACGAGTCGTAATGAGAAATGTTCGCGAGGGAGTATTTCTTTCGTTCGATCGCGAAAGCTTCGCGCACCCGTGTATATTTTTTCTCGTTCCAGTCTTACAACTCATAAAACGCCCTCTATGTTTTCAGTCTACCTCGCGAGAAACGTGCGAAATGGTCGTTTTAACATAAACGCGATAGAAAAAACGTGGTATTTTTTTTCTTTTTCTTACCTGCTTTGACCAAAAAAGGGAAAGAACGTCGATGTCGTCGAAAGTACGAAATTCGAAGATCGCAACGGGGGTATAATAGACGCGCAGGAGGGCCATGGCGAGATCGTAAAACGATCCGCAGGCTCGATAGTAAGGTTAGTGCGCTCCTCTCGTTCACGTGAGACACGATATATGTATAGTTTTGCTCGGCTATACGATGTCTCGTGGGAAGGCTTTCTCGGTTGTCTGCTGGCCTATACGCCGGCTCTCTCTGTGTTTGTGTGTGCACTTGCGCACCTGCGCGCGTATAGTTGTGCGCGTGCACATAGCCGTAGGCCATTGTCCACAGTGGTCAAGAACTCTTGCCGTCCGAACGAGACGACAAAGAGTAGAGTAGAACCGGAGAAATATTGACACATCGGTCTCTGTTTACACTGGATACTGTCGCCGAGAAGAAAAATCATCCCTCCTAGATTGCTCACTGATTCACCAATCGTTTAACCTCCACGTGTGTTCAAGCCGTGTGTATTAAAAAATCGTCGTGGCTCGATATTGTACTTTGACGTAGTAGCGAACATTTTGTTACAAAGTAACCGTTCAGTTCCCATTCTTTTCGATGAGTTTGAAGTTTCTACGTATTCGGTATTCGATGAAATCCTCCAGATGTCTCTGGCTGTACGCGCAGTTCTTTCTACTCTACACGTCGAGGATTGTAATTAATTTCTCGCGATGTTAGTTTAACGTGGAACAGTGGGCCGGTAGCATACGTTAATACGTTTACGACTGGTTTCAGAACGATTTCTTTCTTTCTTTCTTTTTTTTTTTTTTTTTCTCCCATACGAAAACGCCCCTCGTGTTCCACGATCGTTGAGGCTCGGCAGCACGCGTGGCGAAATGTCCATCTGCGCCTCTACCCCTCTTCCTTTCCCCCTTTTGCTTTCTCGCTCGCGTCTTGCCGAGCGAAAAAAAAAGCACTTTTTGCCGGGTTGTTCGCGCAGATATCTCTGCTCCTCCTGGGAGACGTGCAGCACAGAAGATATACGCGTGTGCAAAAACGCGCTTACACACGTGCTGCCCCGGCGGCGTGTTCGGTCGTTGGGCACGAGACGACCCCCGACGTGGAGAGTGTTGGCCAAGTTTGTTTGTCGCGTGTTGCGAGCAAGCCTTGAGGATTCGTCGGTTTTCTTGTATATTCTCCTGTTGTTGATGCCAGTTCGAATCAACCATGGAGTATATAAAATCTAAGGCAAAAGGTCGCGGTGCCGTTGCAATTTTGTAATTATAACGTGCAATTTGGCAGAGTTACGTTTCTCATAATGCGGCACACGTGTGCGTGTGATATTATTGTAAGTGAAATGTTATTAAAGGCGCGTGAGGGCATCGTGTTTCATCGAGTTACGAATGTATTTCGAATAAATAAATGTTCAAAGAAATATTTCGTGGAATTGCGTGATAATTGATAAGCAGAACAGAAATGGATTTAGAATAAGAATAAGTAAATGATTGTTCGTTCGACGGGATTTTTATTGAATAAAATTCAATTTGCTTTCAGGTAAACGCCTCGGGGGTGTTCGAGTTGAGGTTGAAGTCATTCGTGAACGAGTATGGAAAAGACAGTCTGGGCAAGTGCTGTTCAGGCAGCACTTCCAAGACTGGCGAGTGCTCAGGCGTTTGTAAAACCAGGTTCAGGGTCTGCTTGAAACAGTATCAAGTAAAGATCGACACGACGACGCCGTGTACATACGGCGACGTCGTTACACCCGTTCTGGGCGAAAACATCGTTAATCTCAGCCCTAACGTTGCTATGCCAAGCTTCACCAATCCCATCAGATTTCCATTCGACTTCACGTGGCCGGTAAGTGTTTCAACGTATTTCACATCTCTTCAATTATTATAATCGCAACTTGATTGGTAAGATGGATCATGTAGTCAAGGTTAGATTATTCTTAGTAGTAAGACGTAATTGAAATATCGCTGAACGATTCACGACTGCCGTTACATTAGAAATATAGTCGTTAACTAGACGAGAGCTACATGTATACTATACTCGCAAAGTTACACGATTGCACAGATAAGCACAGAAACATCATCGGTATTCTTTGTTTCCGCTCCTCTGCGTTTTTTTTTTTTTTTTTTTTTTTTTGCATTAACATATCGTGCATGTTGCATGAAACGCGAAAAATCGTCGGTAACGTAGACGGAACTGAAAAATTGCAGCGCGTAACAAATCGGGGGAAAAAATTCATTACGAATGCCATCGGTCACGACTGTGTTTTTCTCACGTTCGTTTGCGAATTGTCTACTATTATGTAAACGTTTTCCGCTCGCTACGAAGACTTCATTTCCAGCAACGATCTTCCACAACGATCGTGAGTTTTTTTTTCTCCGCAGACACATTACGTTAGATAGAAAAAGGGGGAGACACGGGCCATTATAGAGAGTTTTAACGTGATCAACGCGTATTGTGGCATCTTTCGGGTACAGTTGGTCGATTCTGTGTCCTAATGTTTCCTCGATTTCTGACGAAGAGAAACGACACCGGTATGAACGTCGGTTCGCAGCTTTGATTCTTGTCTCGAATAATGAGCACGCGCAGGAAATTAGAACCTCTTCGTTGACTTAACTACGAGGAAGATACATACGCGTGGAATTCACCGAAGAATAAAAAACGCCCGTTGTATCAGTCTGATCTTCGCATCCTATAATTCTCGGTGAAAATTAACTGTGGCACAAGCTGAAGCAGTACCCCGAGTCAATTCATATTTTTCTACCACGTAAAACGATTTAAAAGTAGCGTGACTTCGATTTTCGACGCAAAAAAAAAAAAAAAGAAAAATATTATTAAGAATCTTAAATTTTCAGTTATTGGCTTCTTTTTTTTATTTGTATTTGTTCTCGGACGGTGTCCAACACTGATAAAATCATTCGAAAGGGTCGTAAAAGTTGCCTCCATGTTGTGTCCCCGATCGAATATCGAAAATTGAAAAGTAAATTGGCCGATTAGCTGTCGCTTCGATTACCTCGATCTTTAAAAAGCAGACCACTTTCCATTGTTGGAACACGAAATAAAATTGCGTAGAAATCTCACGTGCCCCGTTGCACCTGCTCGTCCATCGCACGCGGTATAACCGATTCGCCATCGAGTAATTAACCTCGCGGTGAAAAGAATGAAATGGATCACGAGAAAATGAGGAATTCGCGCGAGCGAGGGAAAAATTACGGCCCCCCCCCCCCCCCCTTGTCTTCGGTCGTACGAAAGAAAGGCAGGTCGATCAGCATTAAAAACGAACATTTTGCGGTGCGGTGGCGCGCGTGCACGCACAGCCGCGCGCCACAGTGCGACAAGGATGACCAAACGAATGGCAGATGGTGCGAGAATCGGCGGTGCGAGCGAGACGCCCGATGGCACTTGTCTCTCCCTCCTGCTGTTGCTGCTATTGCTTGCTTGTTGTTGCTTCGATAATTCCTGGCATTGGCGGGAACGGTCGACTTTTTGAACTAATAAAATAATCAGGGACCAATGATGACATAACTGGGGAAAAATGTAGTGGAAAAATATGAAAAAATGTTGGATCTTCGTTTGTACCTACTTCTAAAAGTAACAATTTTAGAGACTTGTCTTTTACCAGACTTGTCTTTGCATTTATTAAAAACGTACTAGTGCTGTTTTATTTAATAATAATATATATTAATTTTATTATTAATTAATAACAATTTAATTAAAATATTTATTATTAATAATAATTTAATTAACTTTAATTAATTTAATTAGTTTTATTTAATAATAATATATATTAATAATAATAATGATATAACTTTGCATGTAAGGACAATAATGGTAACACGCGGATTAAAGTTAGATTCCAGGCTAAGTGTAGTCGCGGCGTAAAGTAAAGGTTGGAGGTTAATATAAATTCTTTGAAAGAAAGTCAAGATTCGTATCTTTTTATTAGATTTTCGAGCAGTATCGTAAAGAAACTAGGATAAGTTCAAACAGCTTCGTTACATAAAGCGGCACGGTGACGAGGCGTTCGTTGTTAGTATGTCTGCTCGTCAACGCGTTCCATCGAGTACCGGTGTCTACGCCAATGTTTGCCCACCATCCCTGGTATACGTCAGTTCTCTCGTTGCTGTTCGCGTACTTCTGCCTATGAGACGCACTGCAGGGCCACTGGCAGATGGCTAGGCCTTTTGTGCTTCTACACTTCCCTCGTAATCTCTTTCTCGTTCTCTCTCTCTTTCGAACCGCTCACTCTCCATCGTTGTTGCGTTCGAAGCTCTCTCGCGGGCAGAGTTAAATTTACTAACCCATATGGCGCCCCCTCGCGCCACCTCTGCGCCACCTCTGCGCCAGTTCTCCTCCTTCTCACTTCAAAAATCCGCCCTGCTCGCTCCCTTTTTCTCGCTTTTCGTCGCGTTCTCCACCTTTTTCTTTTTTTTTTTTTTTTCATTTTTTTCCAGTATTTGTTTATCTTTCTACCAGTGATATTCAGCCGAAAATTTTTCTATCCGTGCCGTTCTAACCTGCTGGCCCTCTCGGTCCTTTCCCCCACCACTATTTTCCAACAGCGGTATATCGGCCGATATTACAAGCTATATCGGGGCGGCAAGAGGCTGCCGGTTTCAAGACAGGAACTCTTCTCGACGGCGAGGAAGAAGCAGAAGAAAAAAAGTAGCGGCGTTCTCGGAAGAGAGGCTGGCAGGAATCCTGCGTGTAGAAACAACCTTTGAATCGGCACGGTAGTCTGTCTTTTTATATATATATATATATATATATATGTGGCAGCGGGCGACGCCAGAGAAAGAATAGGCTGCGTTATAACGTGTAATCGCTATTTGGAGTGTGTCCGATTTATTTCTGTCTCGTGAATAAGAACGAGGTTTCCTTCCGTTCTGAGAAAGAAAAGAAAAGTATATAGATCCTCATTTAACTAATGAATTATCTCGATGCAATAGCGATGGCCGATGAAAAACATCACGACTAGTATGAAAACGAAACATTTCACTGGAAAGTAGTTAACACCGTATATTATCCACCGAGCGGCGGGGAATCCTTCGAAGTTTGAACGCACGGGTGGATCGACGTGCCGGAAACGCGCTAATTACAGGCATCGGCGGGGAGTCGCGGTGCGTAGACGCAAAAGCAACAATATATCATTAATAACAGTTAGCTTCTTTCGTTCGACGAGGAGAACGAAATAAATACGTGTGCCTTCCCTTTGTGATTTTTCACGCCGGATTCACTCCGGCGAATTCCTTTCCTAGTTATCCACTGTCGATCATATCGTGATAAAAAAGGAGTGATGCCCGAAAGTTGGCCGGGGAATTGTAGCCGAGAGAAAGAAGCTTGGTTGCGCAAGCGTGTTTGTCTGGGGCACGCGTGTCTGCCGTTAATTACGAGGCTGGAAGAGACAGAGGAGCTTGATACACACGTAATCGTAACCTTCGTCTGGTTGCATCAAGATCGAGAGTCTCACTCTCTTTCTATCTTCGTCCCCCTCGGACGGTTAATTGCTTCGCGTTACACGCCGCATCGCGAGGCTTATTAAAACAGCGCCGACTCGCGACAGTGCGACTACTGTGCAGAATCCACCGTGGAATTTCGCTTCAATCCGCTGCTCTCTCACTCTCCCTGTAACTCGCCGTAACATCGCGAATATTTACGTACATGTATTTCATTTTAATTTGAAGGGCTCGCGACATATTCTCGATCATCATCCCTGCCAGCGTTCTATTTACCATTCTCTCGCGGCGTAACTGTGATTCAGTGTCCCGGCGAGATATCTTGTTGATAATTTCTCGTCGCAGCGCGTGACGTTCGTCCCTCGTCCGTAACCGGAGAGAGAAGAGGCTTTGACAGAGATGATCGGGTCAGTTCAAAGAATCATTCAAAAAAAAAAAATTTCTTTCTTTCCCTTGTCCCTTCCTCCGTGTGTCCGCGGTCCACAAAGCAAGCGGGGTCCCCGGCGTATCGTACATACTCGAGGAACCGTGGGTACCGGCCGGAGGAGGACGTCGGACACAGAGAAAAAGCGAGAAAAGGACGAATGAAAGGCTTGCACCGCGCGACCAACAGAGACGGCCAAGGATAGAGAGAAGCGCAAAGGTGGCACACGTGTGTGTTTTGTGTGTGTACGTGCATATAAATATATATATACACACACACGTAAAGCAACCGCGTGCAAGGTGGGGAAATGACGAAGAGAAGGTGGGACCGAAAGAGACAGAGAATCGTGGTCCCACGGCCGAAAAGGCTGCGTGATTCGCGTCCCAGACGAAGGAACGAGCGGGAGAAGGGCGTCGGATGAATGGCTGACTCGGTGTGTACGCCGATACGCGGCTTCTCCACGACGTGAAACGTTTAGCATAAATTACGTGTTAGAGACAGGGAGAGGACGCTACGTGGGACGACTTGGTGGTGGACGACGGCTGACCGCCACTCTACCCGAGTCAGAGCGCTACGCGATGCTCGGAATACCGCGGGTTTTTTTTTTTTTTCCTTTCTTTCTTTCTTTCTTTTACATCGCTCCGCGAGATATGCCGCGGCGAGGGATTCGGTGAAAGTTTCGCAACGGCATAAATGCCGGTGATTTCTCGAGCCGACTGGGGAAACTGTCGTCTCGCTTCTTGCGACAGCCTTGGAGAATATTTAGGCAAAGATTATCTGTTCTTTTTTCTTTTTGTTTCATTTTGATTTCCTATTTCCTATTCTAGAATTAAGTTAAAAATACAATATTAATCATATTTGGCTTGTACAATTGGAGAGTCAATAAAAAAAAAAAATAGTATATTCGACGTGTTCTTTGTCGGATTTAGGCATTTGCTGGTTCAGTCAGTAGGATTATCTATTCTTTT